ATGGTTATTCTCCTTGGGTCTTCGTATTGATCTTTTAGCTGTTCAATTGCCTTTTCATACGAGTCCCCTGTGCGAGGAATCATTCGTAGGCATCTTGCTGCGTCTCCTTTGCAACAACTGAGTAGAATGGAGAGTTTCCTTATGTTGGAGAAGGGTTGTTTGTGAACGAGTTCTTCAAAGAGTTCCCAAAATGAACCGAATTCCGATGGGTTGCCATGGAATTCTGGTAGTTTTATATCGCCGCTGAATAGGCGTTGATCAATCATTAAGGAATTCAACGGTTGAATGAGGGATTCTTGGGTTGTTGCTCTTGGAGTTATTGTTGCCTTGATGTGTTGAGTTGGTTTGTGAAAGATCGAAGGCGGCTGCTTGGCATTCTAGTTCTATTAGTCTTTTGTAGAGTTGTTGGGATAGTAGTGTTGCAATGGATATGGTCTTATTTCCTTGTTTTTCTTCCCAGTAATCATTGAAAGCTTTTGAAGTGTCGTCATCCGTTGTTGTTAGTGTGTTGTAGGCTAGATTCGTAGAGGGTCCATGTTTGTTCAGTTTGTTCGTCCACTTGCTGTTTAAGTTTGTCCACTGAGATTTTGTTTGTTAGGACGAACAGTTTAAGTGCAGAGTTTTCGGATGGAACGACTCATTCGAGTGCAGAGTTTTCGGATGGAACGACCCATTCGGGCTTATAAGCATTTGCATCCTCTATGAGTTCATGGAGGATGTTAAGTTTTCTTGTTAGCTTTTGCTTTGTGGTAGTGATATTGAATGTTGATGAGGCATGAAGGCCAGTAGATGAGAGCGTCCGATGTGTAGTCGGTCACCAGGCGGTAAAGCTCGAGTAACCAGACTGATTTGACTGAGTTTGCTAGTGTTGTGTGTTCGGGTATGATCCTGCGCAAAGCGTATGGCGTGTAGCGCATGGTGGGGTGTGTTGAAGTCGATTGTAGGGTACGTGCGTAGTGTTGCATTGCTATTTTTGGCAGCGAAGTTCTATTAGTCTTTTTTCAAGCTGTCTTGGTCATGTTGCCGCAGTTGTTATTATGGGTGTTCCCTTGTATGTTGTTCCAGAAATTCTTAAATTGGTTGAGTTTTTCCTCGTTTTTATTAGCGGCTTCGGCAAGTTTCCTGCATGTATTTACATAAGTGGACCATATTGTTGAACTTTGGTGTTCTATTTTTGCTTTAAGGTTTTGTACCATAAGTGTTTTGGTAGCAATGTAAATTTTGAGTTGTAGGTTATCCACGGGAAATACCCATGGAGAGGTATATTCGTTAGCTTCTTGTATTAGAGAAGTTAAAATATGAGTCTGGATTTCCAGATCGTGCTTGGTAACATTGAGGTGGGGGGAAGGTTGCTCGGAGCTAGAAGCTGACATAGCTGGTCATACGAAATGTTGTCTCTTGGGATGTATTCCAAATTTATATAGTGTTGGGAGATAATGGGAAAGGAGATTCCGTTAACTGTTCATTTTTTCCTTTCTCTCTTTCTTTTTATTCCTTTCTTAGTTTAATTTTATCTGAGAGAGATATTTAGTCTTGGTTTGGTTAGACTGCTGTGGTTATTCCAAGAGTACAGTTGATATAATAGCTCACGGATTATGTTTTACCCTTTTATAGTGACCGGCTGTAATGCCAGATTCTCGGTTCGCAAATTTTTTCCATTATCGGCGTGCTAATTGCAATGGGCGTGGCCTTTAATGGAGTTCGGCGAGTTTCGCCTGGGAGACGTGTGCGCTGATAAGCGTGGGAACGTGGCCGGTAACGAATTGTCGCGACTTCCCTAATGGACTGTCGCGTGGAATGTGTACATGCTCATGAGCGTGGGAAAATGGAAAGTGATGAGCATGGAGTCGTTAATTGAAATTCCATTAGCGATGTGTCACCGTTGGAGCGGTGAGATCATTCCTTTTAATGGTTGTGCAGCTTTCATGGTACTTGCTTTGTGTTGCTAAATATGAGGGTTATCGTTCTTGGAAGTGTAATCAAGAGTGAGATTCAAAGCAGGGTGCTCCGACGCTTAGGTGGTATAATTGATTTGTGTTATTGGCTATTAGACTTGCCAGTTGCCAGTTGAGAGAAGCTTCACTATGATATTATTGATTTGTTTTCTCCGTGAAACGTTTCCTTCTAGAAGTAATGTTGTCGTAGTGCGAATAAGGTTAGACTCGCTTTTAGTAGGCTATATTTGTCAAATAGTTTCGATAGGTCTACCGACTCTAACTGAAAAAGTTTATCCTCAACCCAATGGTTGGTCTCGTTCAACAGTTTGTTCTTTGATTGGCCATTTTGGATGACTTTGAAGGATGTTATTTTGCCTTTTATCATACCTTTGTACCTTTCAGTTTTTAGCTTAGTTTTCGCTGCAGCTTTTAGCTTTTAGCTTAATTTTAGTGAGTAGTTCATGGAGGGATTTATAGCTTTGTCTTCCCCTTTATTCCATTTCATAATGATGAAATTGGGTTTTATCTTTTCAGATTGTCTCAGGGTCTCCTACAATTTGAATGCCACTTCTTAGCCTTCAAATTTTTAGATTTATTTATCTATTGTTGTTATTATTATTATTATTTTTTTTAGGTTCTTAGATGTGTTTATCTACCAATTTCTCTTATAAAGTTTCATTCGTTGCTATGTGGTAGCGCTCCTCTATGAACTTGTTATCTTGTGAGCTACGATGTCATGCCTGAAGTTTTATTACAATGTGGAGCTCTATATGTGGCGTTAAAATTTGCTTCCAATCGCACTTAAGTATCACTGTGGGCCTCGTCTGAGTCGTCGTTTCTTTGGTTACGGACGTGACATTCGTGAAGTAGGATGCATAGAAGCGCAGTTTCCAAATTGGTCATCCGCGGCTTCACAATTAGTACGGTGCTTAATAGTTTAACTGTTTGTTAGGTGATGGACATTAGGTACTTTAATTTCTTTCTGGAATGCTTTGGTTACTTACATTGGTGTTTTGTTGTGCGTGGCGTAAGCAATGGAGCTCCCTTGGGATACTGTTCAGGATTTCTTCGATTGGGATCGGTAGGGGACGTGCCCCGTTGCTGGCATTCGGATTATTCATCTGAAGTAATTTTTATTATCAAAGTGCCTTATAGTTTCACGTAGACGCGAAGTTCGGATTACGAGAGAGAAGATTAATTGAGAATATTAGTAACTTATGGTATGTTAGTGTTTGTTAGGGGTGCTAGTATGACGTTATTATTGATGAATGAAAAAAGGGTATGGTTGGAAAGAAAAAGAAAGAGACGTGATGTGTTTTTTTTTCTTCTAATGTTATCTGTTTGCCGCTTTTATAGTGTTTTATGCGTGATCTTTGCCATTTTTTATGTGTGGTATTGTTAATGGATAGTTGAGAGGAACGTAATAACAGGGATTTTGGAGTTGTTTAACGGATTCTTGGATTTCTTTGCTCTTTCTTGGACTGTGCCTGTCTTTTCTTGTCCCTTGCTCTCTCCTAACTTTGCTCGTCGCTCCGATAATTTCCTTCGGAGCACGTCGCCGTGGGAAATTGCCGACGCCGGATATATGGTGCGCGGCATTCTTTGCTAATGCTCCGAAAATGTTTACCGGCGCACGTAGCCTTCAGACCCGGCGGCGCCTTTCTGTTGCGGAGTTTTATTGATTGGCTGTGATTATTGTAGCGATTGCGTTCCTTTCTTCATTTGCTGTTAGTCTCGTGCTTTCAAAAGCCCTTTATACGTCAGATTATGATTTGCCATTGTGATTTGTCCCGTTGGCTCTTCTGCTGAAATCGCTTTTATGTTTTGTCTCGTCTGATTGCAATTCACACCTTCTCATGAGGCAGTAGTGCTCGAAGGGTGTATTGACGGGTTCACAGTTAAAGTTTCATTTTAAGGATCTGGGCGAGCTCGTATTGGAATGTCTCATCTTACGAGACTTTTCAGGCTGCTATTGGAGGTACTTGAATGTCTCAATTCCTGGGTACTCTTTAGGTTCATGATTGAATAGCCCATCTCGGGAGGCGTGGAAGTTCTTTTACATTTATGAGTTTGCATTCATACATTGAGTATCTTATTTGACGTTAATCTTCAAGTTTCTATTAGAAAGTGTTAAGAAGTTATCCTCGGTAAGCATTAAAGCTTACGAGTGAAATTCATATTTCTTATTTTCTATCTTGTGGTCGCACAGACGTATCCTCTACTCGTGGTCGTCCACGCAGGTGACCATTCTTTTTGTATTGCTTGGTGGCCGTTCGAGGTGGATAAGATGTCGTTCAATTCCTTGGTAGATGTGTTTTGCATGGCGCATCATGTGGCGGACCTGGCGCACTTTATTGAGGAGTTGTCGTGCTGCGGTATCTTGTCTGGCCTCTATGGCTAGATTTAAGTTATGATATTAATTATATTCGGAAGGCTCTCAGTTATGTTAAGTTTTAGTATTCATGTGAAGTTGTGAAAGATATTGCGGGGTTAAACCCTTTCATTTATGGCCCGAAGACTTTGCCGTAAAGTATTTATTTGGGACTGATTAGTGATCATATCGACGAAGTAGTTCTCGTATGCTCTCTAAAGAACTGCCCAGGGCTTTATTGGCATTGATATCGCATTGTTCAATTCTGCCCTTTAAGTCTTGCAGCGCTTAAATGAAGAATATCATATCTTCCTTGAAGGAGTTGATGGTGGCCATAATCTTCTCGAATTCTCTTGTGTGAGAACGACGTGACCGTTCTCCATTTATGAAGTGTGTTGCATTGCGTGAGGGTTTATTAAAGGATTTGTGTTACGAGTGCAACATATTGTTGTGGAGTGAGAGAGAAATTAAGTTAGGTAGGGGGTAAAATTGAGTGATGTTCGTGTTTATTTCACAGCTTTTATATGGTTGTTTGTAATGCACCGTCTTTTTTTTTGTCTTCAACTTTCGTTTTGTATTCGTTATATTACTAGTTTCGTTGACGTCTATGTTGTTTCTTTTATATGTGAAATTGACGTCGTCATCGATCATCGGCGAGGCGGTTGTGTTGTTGTCGGTGCATATGCACCCACGAGGGTGATTATTGCCGTCGTGGCCGCCTGGCCATTATTGATTGTCCCGATAGTGCGACGTGCTCTGAGTGCATGCGTACTTAGGCCGCTAAGTGCGATTAGGTTGTGGTGGATGATACCATCGACGTGTTGATTACATTCTTTTCATATTTACAGCATCATGTTTAATGCGTTGCTGGGAATTTCGATTTGTTTTGTGCATTAAAATGTAAGTGGATGGGAATCTTGTGAAAGAAGGGATGGGATGAGAGATTGTGCTAGAGCACTGTGCTGTTGTGAGGGGAAAAAGAGGGAGGAACCGAGTGGCATGGCTCCTTTCTGGTTGATTAATTCTGATGGACATTATGGAGGATTACTCAAATAGGTCTTTTTTTTGTCTTTTGGTTTTCATTGATGTAGAAAACGAGATTCTTCCTGTTCGTTGTTCTCGTGTGATATTTGCGATTTGTCATGGTTTGGTAATGGGAGGATGCTTACATTCGGATCCATGTATGCTTGATATGGATCTAGAGCATGTTGTTGACATTGATGTCTGGTTCATTGTTCCATTTGTTTGGAACGAACTCTTATCTGGACTTCAAATTAGAGGACTCCCATAGCGAGCAAGCAATATTGTCGTCATGTCATAAGTATCGGTTTGGCTACTTGCTTGCATTGGTGAGAGTTCTATTAGTCTTCAAATCCTTTACTGAGCTATCAACGTTGGACCGCCTCAGCGTTGTGCGTAGCCGTTTTCTGTGCTCATTTACTGAAGAGAATTTATGGTTAGCCAAATTTTTTGTATCTTTCAAATTAGCGTTAGTTTGGTACTCGAAGAGATTTTTAATGCTCGTGATCGGTTATATTCATTCCTGGCGTATCGACTTTCTTGAAGTGCGTCGTGAGATTGCCGGATTGCTCCATGATTCTTCAGGAGCTCTCGGTTTCCAGGTTTTCTTTGTCAATCGTCAATTTATCGACGATCGATGGTTCGATGGTTATGGATGTTGGCAATCATAACCAAGGAGTTTTGAGCGAGGTATGCCTATTGTTAATTATTGATTGTCGAACGTTTATCAAGGTTTTGCTCTACATCTTACTTTCTGAAATTAATGTTAACTTTCTGGAGATATGTTTGTTTTATAGTTACTTATCGAGATATGAATGCATTCATTGGTTTGTATTTTGGTCTTTTTGATATTCATACGATTAGAGGGGTGTGATTAAAGGTTTAATTCGTTGGTGCTATCGTATTTAGTGAGGTGCTTATAAGTAGTGTTCGTTTGGAATGAGCTGCTGTTTCTATTCTGAACTTGGGAGCAGATCGTCTATATGAAATTAAGGGCGCCTGCTACTGGAGAAATGAGCCACTCTGTTTAGTTCCGAATCGGGCTCCATGATACATATTTCGATTTTAAGGTGCCGGCACTACTGAATATGGGAGCCTATCGCAAGAAATATCATATCGAATCTGAGGCGCCTAATAACGTCAAGGGGAGCCCAAAAAAACAATTATTATACTGTGGCGCCGAAAACAATAATTGGGAGCCTTTCATGAACAAAGAATCTGAGGCGCCTATCAACATAAGTTTTACCATCACTGCAGTACTGCTAAAACTGATAGATTCGGAACTTCTGAAAGTCATGTCGTGCCGTCTCTGGCATGACAAGCGGATCCGCGGAAAGGACAGAAAGAAAGGGGCCCTTAGGCCATAGCTTCTTTTTTGGTGTGCACACATTTGACTTGCTTATTGAGGGAGTTTTAATCTCCCTTTTCCTCTTCGTGTCTTGGTATTAGTCTCTTGATCTTGGGTAGTCGACATTAGTATTTAAATTGCAGCTCGTTCTTTTTGTTAAGCTCCTGCTTGTTTGTTGCTCCCGTTTGTTCGTAGCTCTTTGATATAAATGAGGCTTCTTGAATTGAGGCTCCAAGTTAAGGCTCCAAAATAAGGCTCCATGTCAATTGTGGCATTTGGCCACTCACCCGGGGTTATTTCAATTATCTCGAAGTTCCACTTTTCAATACTGGGAACCCGAGAAGTTTGACAGGCCGGCAGAACGCCTTCGACGTCATGGCGGTCTGTCACTATGCAGCTGCATAATGTAACCAGTGAATAATTTTTTTTTCATTTTTTTTTTCATTTTTACTTTTTTTTGTCTTTTTTTCTAATGAGATCAGTAGGGGGTCATCGTGCTTTGTTAAGGGGCCTTGAGCATGTCACGTCTGACTGAGATCAAATCACAAAGCACGGAGGTAGGGGCAGAAAAAAATTTTTTCCGAATCGCGGTTGATTCACGCCATATATCCCTTTTGGGTTGTTTCGACTGGCTTTATTTAGCTTTTAGTTTTATGCGCTGACTTATTTAATTTTATTTCAGGCAATGGTTATGGTTCTCGTCCTTTGTTACGGTTCACGTATGGTGGTCTCTATGTTTTTCGCTGTGAGTACATTAGTTACAATAGTTGGCTTACTGTTACTAGGAAGTTATTGTTTATCTAATTTATTATTGCTGTTGTTGTTAAATTAAGAAGCTTTTTATAATTATTATACTATTACTAGGAAGTTATTGTTTGTCTTGTTTATTATTATTGTTGTTGTTAAGTTAAGAAGCTTTATTTATTCATTATTATTATTTTTTGTTTATTATTTATTTGTTTTAGTAGTTCGTTTTGGTGTTACTGTTAACTTCTTTTATTGAATAACTAATTATTTTATGGGTTGTTTTGTTGTTATTGTTATAAGTTGTCGTTGTTTTATTATTGTTGTTACTATTAGGTCTTATGAGGCTCAAAGGATTTAATAAAGCCGTTTGAAATTTATCGTGTAACTTTGTGTTATTGTCTGTGTAGGTAATGTAGATTCTTAGCATGAGGGTGTTTGATGCAATTAGGTGGTATAGAGTCTTCAACTTGACTGGAAAGTTAAATAGGGTTTAGTGTTCGGTAGACCTATTGAAGTTCTATTAGGCTTGCGTTTAAATATTGAAGCTTAATGTCTTGGTTATTTGGTTTGTATTGGTTTATTTAGTTATTACTGGTGTCGCATTTGACAGGTGATACAGGTCGCATTTGTGTGCT